AGCTGCATAGTCCTCAGCTCCGCTGATAAATTCTCCTTCTGATCTGAAGGGGTAGTGAAGCAAATGAGGAAAGGTACGCAGCGTGGAGAAACAGGGCAAACTGGCACCTGATGTCCCGAGACCGGAGTTCTAGGGCTGATGCTAATTTCAGTGGCTCTGTGACCTGACCTGGCGGTCTCATTCCTCCAGGCTCTAAAACAAACGGTGGCGTCGAATGGGAGGGTGGCGTCGTTTGCAGCGTCTGCGTGTGTGCGCATGTGCGTGTGGGTGTGGGTGTGGGTGTCAGAAACGGGTCCTTTTCAGTTTGCTGTTGCTCAGTCAGCCCTCTTCTTTCATTTTTAAAATTTACCTTTAAAAAAAAAAAAACCAAGACCTTTTGTTCCAGCTCTGAAACTGTTCTTCAAGTAACACAAAATCAAAATACCTTTGCACTTCAAACTATTCTGGGCAGAGTAAATATCCTTCTGGTTGAATAAGGAATAAGGTTACTTTTAAGTCTGGTATTTAACAGCAGTACTTGCCTCGACACCGTTACTCTGCATTTAAATCATGCCTCCTTAACAGAAAGGATCGTAAATTGTATAGCACAGTGATTTTCAACCTTTTGCATCTCATGGCACACATAAACTACTAAAATTCTGTGGCACCCCCCAAAATATATTTTTTGCCAACCTGACCAAAAAAAGGTATCATTTTTATTCATTGACACCGACTGGCTACTGTTGTGTTGGCTGTTGTCATTATTTTAGTTGACAGTCTAAGGGAAAGAGGTCAGTGCCCCTGACAAAACAGTCAGGATGGTATGTTTTTCCAAGTCTTGCGGCCCACCAGTCAAAGGTCGCTGGCATAGCAAAAACCGTTTTCTCTCAACAGGGAAGATGCGTTAGATGTCGCATTGAGTCCATGCTGCATCTTCACAGGCCCCTTACTTGCCGTCACCACGCATGCAAGGAGAACGGTTCAACAGTTCGCTGGTGGGAAGTGCTCCAGGCCCACAAGCCCACCACTTACCAGGTTCATCTTCCCCCTGAGTGGCTGGGACCCTCAGGCTAATTGAGGTCTAGCCCCGCTATTTTCCTGCCATGACTTTTTTCATTCTGCAAGAATTTCAGGCTTATACAAAAAGTACAATAGCACAAAGAATTTCCACAAACCACTCACTCAGGTCCCCAAAATGTTAACATTGTACCACATCTGTTTTATTGTCCTTTGTACATATATGAGTGTGTGTATATCCTCATGGTTTTTCCCCTGAAATATTAGAAAGGAAGTCACAGACTTGATGTTCCTTTACCCCTGAAATATTTCCATGCATATTTCTCTAAAATAAGGCCTTTTCCTAAATAGCGTTAGGACAGTGATCAAAAGTGGGGAATTAACATTTGTACTTTAACCTAAGGGCTTTTCCAAATTTCACCAGCTGTCTATTCTTCATAAGAAAAATTAAATTTTTTTACATGCATGTGCAGACATTATTTCCTTTTTATGCTCTGCTTCTTACACACAGGTGGTGTTAGTTTCCTATGACTGCCATAAGAAGACACCACAAACCCAGTGGCTTGAACAATAGAAATTTATCATCTCACTGTTCTTAGGAACAGAAACTTGAGTCAAGGTGTCGGCAGGGCTGTATCCCATTTGAAGGCTCAAGGGAAGGAGCTGAGTCAGGTGCCTCTCCCAGTTCTGATAGCTCCTGGGCAAGTGCCCACGTAACTCCAGTTATCTTCACATGATGTTCTCCCTGCGGGTACGTCTGTGCAAATTTCCCCTCTGCATTCCAGTTCCAAGGGGCACCGTCAGCTGCTAGCTGTGTTAGTTAGCTCTCATCAGGGAACCGCCCTTGAACCCGATGACTTATGTGTATTGTTATGTCCACAGAGGAAATTTCAAACCTAAAGGAAAGTTTAAGGCACTTAGACAAGGTTTAGGGGCCATTCGCAGAAGCAAAATCTCGAAGGATTAAGAAAATGCTCTAGAGAAAATAAGGGTTTGCAGTGTCTTTTACACATTCATGTGGGGGCGACTTTTCCCACACGTCCCCCCATGTGCCACGGATGAGAGTAAACATGACTGAGACATGATGTGATCTGCTTGGGGAGGAGAGGTGACCGGTTTCCCAGAGGAAAAAGGCCTTGAGCAGTGGCCAGTTTCTCAGGGGAAAAAGGCGGTGAGCCGCTTCCTCCAAGGGCTTTTATTGGGTTGTAATACACAGGAATACAGGGTGGCAAGGATCAAACAGTAAATAACATTTGAAAGAAATCTGAAGGCTTACTCTGAGTTAGAGTGTCAGGAAGAGGGTTGCAAAAACTTTGGGAGACATACTCATTTCCTCTTGGGACCCTTAACATATGAATGAAAGCACTCTTAGCAGAGCAGATTTCACAGGTTTTTCAGGAATTCTTTGTGATGCCAGATTCCCCCCCCCCACACACACACACATGCTCTGGCAAGGCAAGGAGCTGCACCTCTCCCCATCAGGTATTCAGGCTTAAGGGGATTAGAGCCTCTCCCAGAGAACATGGGGACTCGGGCTATCTCACATAGCTGGGAGGCATGAGTCCATTGCTCAGTCTTCGTTGCAGCCTCCTGAGTCCTTCCATGATGGCCTCCCAAGTGGTCAAGTCTGGCTTAGGTTGCTTCCTGCTGTGAGGAGACTTACCTATCAAGGACTTTCGACCATGCTTTGGAGGCAGGGAGGAAACCGAGGCAGCATTTGCTACCAGAGACAAGCTTTGTCTCCTGTGGCTTGCATTCCAGAGGTCACTCACAGCCTTAGCCACAAGGGGGGTGGGGGGTTAGGGTTACAATTCCTGAAACCAGGCAGAGCAGTCCACAACACATTTGGAGAAAGGAGAAGGTGTAAGGAAGACAATGAAACCCATTAGTGGTAGATTAAAAAGGTGGGAGAAAATAAAGCAGGGAAATCTTTAGGATTGGATGAAAACGGATAGATACATATTTTTTTGTATTGGTGGGTGCAGGGTACTTCACATTTAGCATATAATTTACAGAGGTATGCAGGTAAAGGTAACAGCAAGGAATATCGAGGTCATGTCTCCCCGGTACCAGGGGTGTTCATCTCTGGAAGTCTAAAGAAATGTCATTCTAGCCATACAAAGACAAGGGACAGAGCTTGCTCAGAGGGAAGGTTCATCGACCCTGTCGGCTTCAGGACGTGGTTTCCCATCATAACCTGCTCAGCTGGGCATTTTTCAAAATGAAAACATCCTGTGTGTGACTTTCAGTTACTGCATTGGTCAGGCTTGTCAGGGTGGCCACATTTCTGGTTCACGGCTAAAAAGAACCAACAGGCCCCAAGCGCAGTCCTTTGTACCAAGTCCCACGTCTGCAAAGCAAGGCTTAATACTTAATTACAGTTCCAGCCTTCCCCAGGATTGTAATTTTAGGCAGCAAGTCTGGAATTTCCTGGTCCACATCAATGAACTAATCTTCCTACCAGTCCCAATTGTTCCCCAAAGGAAGGTGACCTTGCCTGAAATAATCCTTTTAAAAAATTGGTTTCCTTGTCCCACCCCCTCTATGCTTTTAAAAACCGTTCCATTTCTGGAGCTCCTTTCTCCTTGCTGGACGGGTTGCTGCCTGATTCATGAATCTGTCAATAAAGCCAATTAACCTTTAAAATTTGTTCGGTTGAATTTGTGTTGCTTAACATTATGAATAAGATCACACATATGTATTCACATAAGTTGTATTTACAGTGTTTATAATCACATTTGCTATGTAATGTCTACTGTGAGCATCAAACGATACAAAATATAAAGTAAGAGAAAGCCTTCGTGTCAGGGAGCTGAGGGAGGCAGAACAAATGATACAAAATATAAAGCAAGAGAAAGCCTTGTCAGGGAGCTGAGGGAGGCAGAAGAGGGGGCGGCCACGGTTAGTCTCCAGGTTACCATGAGAAATACCTCTAGAATAATAGACTTTTAGTGAGAATCTGGGCAGAGAAATGTGTGTAAATGCTTTGCAAATTTCAGTACACTCACCAGCTGGGTAGGATTAAGTCTGACAACACATCCAAAGCCCGTAACATGTGCTCCGGGAGCGTGAGCGATCGTTTGTGCTGCTGTTCAGGGCCCCCGTGGGAAAAGGAAGCTCCCAGAGTTTCAGTAACTCCTCTGTGTCTCACAGCCGAGAGTGGCTGTGAGCTATTTGGAGACAAGTCTCCCAACCAGATCCAGTTTGTTCTTATTTCTTCTTCTTCCTTCTTCCTCTCCTCCTCCTCCTTGTACATTTTTAAATTATTGAATTTATGGGGGTGACATTGGTTAATAGAATTAGATAAGCGTCGAGTGTACAATTCTATAACACATCATCTGTGTACTGTGTTGTGTGTTCGCCCGCCCAGGTCAAGTCTCTTCATCCCCCTTTCACCCTCTGCTACCTCCCCCCACCCACGTCACCCTACTGTCGTCTATGAGGTTTTTTTCTTTTTGCTGAATTCCTCCCCATTTTTCGTGCAGCCCCGGTACCCCAGCCCCTCTGAAAACTGTCAGTCTGTTCTCTGGCCTGTACTTTTGACCACTAGGTTATAAGGGCCCCTTTTACTCTGAAGGTCGCGTTCTCCCCTGAGCTGGGAATGGAGCCTGCACTCCAAGGGAGACACTAAGATGGGGCTGAACGCATTGGAAATAAGCGTCTTCACGTGTTTTGGTTCATTCTTGAGTACAGACGGTATCGCTCCTTTAACCGATCCTGGGTCTCAGACACGACACACAGAGATCATCCGCAGACAAACAAGCAGCCCCGCCCCGCCCTGCCAGCCCTCCGGGTGAGCGCTCTTGGCGGACCAGCGCGTGAGCGATCTCGGGGCGGGGCCTGCGCCTGCGCCCTGCCCGGAGTGGGCGGGGCTCCGCGGGCGGGAGGTTTGAAGCGGGGACCCAAGGAGCGGAGCGAGGCCCGGGCAGGTCCAGAGCGCGAAGCTCGCCCGGCCCGGCCAGCTAAACTCTGCTCCGGGATTTGCGAGTTGCAGAGCTTAAGGGAGTACGACTGGCGAGGGGGACCGGCGGATCCGGGGCCCGGGGTCCCCGCCCACGTCGGCCTCCGGGTCTCCCTCGGAGCGGCCATTCCGCACGCGGACGATAGGGCGGCACTCGGGAGCGCGGGGCGCGCGGGTGACGGGGATTCCGACCAGTTCTGCTCTACGGTCCCCCCGAGCCGTCGGCGCCCTTCCCAGCCCCGCTCCCAGGTGAACCCTGGTGAGGCGCCGAGAGCTTCTAAGTCTCCTATGGGGACTGAAGGGCTCAGCTCGGATTTTAGGGCCGTTCGTCCTCATAACGGCCCAGAGGACAGAGAGCAGGCCTCGCGGGGCAGGACGCGGGCCCGTGTCCGCGGAGGGCGAGTCCGAGTCTGCGTCCGCCAAGGAATCGCCCCCTCTCCACGGGCCGCCCGGAGGGTCGGCGCGGCTCCGCCTCCGGCAGCTGAGAAAACGCGGAGAGCGGATCCTCGCGGGGTGGAGGGGAGTGGCGCGCCGGCCCTGCGCATGCTCGGTGCCTCCCGGCAGGTCTGCGGAGTTCCACTCCGCGCGGTAGTGAGGCCCCCTTCGCCCCTCATGGCGGAGCCCGGGACCCCGCGGGGCTCGGTTCTGAAAGGTGAGGGCTGGGTCTCCCTGGGAGCACGGGCGGGGCGGGCGGGGGCAGGGATGGTGGGGCGCGCTGGGGAGGGGGGGGTCATCGGATCCCCGGAAATCAGCCTAGCTCCATGTGGAGTGTGGGGTCTGTCCCCGAGTCTGGGACCGCGACCGCTACCGCGCCACCTGGGCCGGGGGGTGGTTGATCGTCGGCTTTCTCCCAGGTCCCAGCGCCGTTGCACCGCCGGGTGACTCCTGGGGCGCGGCGTTAATTGTGGAATTAGGAAAAGAAAGCAGATTCTCTGCCGCGGTCGAGTGCCTGTGTGTTATATGACAACAGCAGCGACCCCTCATCGAGGAACTGCGTCCAGGAACTGTGCTAAAGGCTTGATTAATAATATCTTAACTTGAATAGCCCAGGCAACTCTGGTTTACTTCGCTTCGTGGGTGGGGAAACTGAGGTACGGAGCATGTAGGGACCCCCCCCCCCCACACACACACAGCTAGTCCGCGCAGAGGAGACTGAAGCACCCGAGCCTGCTCCGAGGTCAGGGTACGCACCTGGGCACCGGGAGTTGCTGCGGAGCAGGACAGCATCAGTCGGGTGTTGGAGCAGGGAGGGGCCTGGAGTACAGACCTTCGAGCCAAAAGAGGAGACCAAGGCTTTACGGAAACTCCAGTCAGGTGTAGCTGCTTTTTTAATGTTAGTGTTTTGTTAAATTAATCTGCCTTTCCTTTTGCTCACAAGTAGTTAGAATGGCACACCTGGAGATTCCTTTAACGAATTAGGTTTGGGGAGAAAGGTGGGATCAGGGGTCTGCAGGCTGTGTCCCCCTCTCCCCATCCTCCTGCTGCCTGATTTTGTAGGACCTGCCAGTCGAGACTTTTACTTTTATGAATGGTTGGGGTGGGTGGTGGAGAAAAACTCCAGAAGAAGAATGACAAATGAAAAGTATATCAAGTTCTAACTTTGTTGTCTGTGAAGCTTTATCAAAACGCAGCTGAGCTCACTCTTTAAGTGCTGTCTTGGGCTGTCTTTGCTTTGGAGCCCTGAGTGGTCGACTCTCAAAGCCTGGAGTGTGTATTTATTGTCAGGTCCTTTACAGGAAACAGACTCCTGCCCTAGAAAAGTTAAGCCTGGTTTAGGAATTTGGGAAGAGCTTTGAGTGTAAGTGATGTAAACCATGATGTGTGGATGAGTACAATTGTTCTTTGTTTGAGATTTTAAGAACCATGATAGCACTAATGCCCTTTTGAATGGGCTTGTAATGGAAGAAAATTTAAATTTATGTTTTAATGTAAATATAACAAGAGAAAAATGTATTGAGATCTTTGGGGGAGGGATGCTGGGTTTTCAATATATTTAAAATGTTAATACCTTGTTCATTTTTAGATGTGGTGGCTTATGTTGAAGTGTGGTCAGCCAATGGAACAGAAAATTATTCAAAGACATTTACAAATCAACTTGTGGAGATGGGGGCAAAGGTAAGAGATTCATTTTACTATTTGCTACATGTGAGTAAGAATTCATCTCACCATTGCTTCATGTCAGTTTAAAAAATCCTTCTCACTATTGCTACATGTTAGTTAAGAATTCATCTCGACATCGCTACATTTTGATAGTTCTCTGGTACATAATGAGATATATTTACATTTTCTTACTTGGGGTGTTGTTACTTAGAACATGAAGGGGAAAGAAGACGGGTAAGTGGCAGGAGGAAAAAAAAGAAATCCACAATATGAAGGATTCAGCCCAGGAGGGGTTTTGGACGGTTGGTCTTGTGCTTCTGAGGAAGGAGAACCCGAGATGACAGTGTGCGTCCTGCCCGTGGTTACTGGGACGCCGCTGCTGTTGGTCAGATGAGGAATGCCGGGAAGGAAGAGGTGTCTAGGGGAAAGGCTGGGAAGCTGGGGCCCCGGAAACATCTGACAGCCACTTGCAGTCCAGGCTGAAAAGCTTGCTTTAGGGGTCAGGAATCCAGGGCTCAGGCGCTGGAAGGAGAAGTGCTGAAGGTGGACCCTATTTAGTGTTTCTGGGGCTGATAACAGGGTAGGGATGAGGGGCTGGGCCCAGGGGCAGAGATCAAGAAGGATGCCAGAACCCGAAAAACAGGTCTGGAGGTTGAGGGAGGGACTTTTAAAAGGCTGCAGACTCTTCAGAAAAGCTGAGCCTTGTGGGTCTGAAACAGGGTCACCGCTGAGCCTGGCACAGCTGCAGGGGGCCGGCTGAGGGCAGGGGCCAGCCCCAGGAACCCCTGAGCCCTGCAGGCTGAGGTCGGGTTCTCTGGCGCTCTGGCTTGTCTTCTCGTCTTAATGGTGTCTTTTGGTGACAGGTGAGGTGCCGGGAACAGAAATGGTGACTGCAGACAGCTCCCAGGGAGTTCAGCAGTTAACAAAGTGTGTTTGTGGCAGGGGCTTGGGAGGATTAAATGCAGTTTTCCCTTTTGGTGAGGGTTTTTTTGTTGTGTGTCCAGTTTAAACACATCTGTTCCTACACTGAGGTTCTGAAGGTTTTCCTTCTCTGTTATTTCTGGAAGTTTTATCATATTGCCTTTCACTTTTAGATTTGTAGTGTATCTGGAATTGGTTGTCGTATATAGCATGAAATAATTTCATTTTTTCCATGGGAGTATTCATTTCGCTCAACACCCTTGAAAAGATTGTCCATGAGCCAAGCTCCCCAGTATTCCCTTTGTCACCGGTCAGGTAACTGGGATTCAGTGTCTGTGTTCTGCTTAATGACAAACCACTCTGTCCTGATTGCCCTCTGGAATCAGTTTGCATTGTCTTCTCTTCTGTTCTTCAGAGTGTTCTGGCTGTTTTTAGCCTTTCACCTTTCTAAACACATTTTACAGTCAGGTGGTCAGTTTATAGCAAAGAACTTTTGGGGGATTTTGATTGCGGCTGGAGCAGTAACAATAGATCAGTGTAGAGAGAACTGACATTTTTACAAAATGGAACTGTCCAACCTATGAACATGATACGTACCTTTGTTGATTTGGTTTTAAAAAGTATTTCGATAATGTTCTGTGCTTTCCCATGGTCTGAACTGCTGCTGGTCTGTAAAGTAGTTAGTGCTTGTATGTCCACCTGGTGTCCAGGAAAGTCCCCAAACTCATTCATGAATTCTGTGGTGTTTGGGGGTTTTACAGACGTACCTGGTCGAATCGTATGAGCACGGGACAGTTTTGGTTTTTCTTATCCTAACACCTTTTATCTCTTTTTCTCCTGGTACTTTACAGGGGAGGCCAGTGAGTAGCATGGAGACTTGAGCGCCCTGGTCTGCACCCTCTTGTCAAAGGAAACCCTTTAGCATCTCTCCTAATGCACTTTGCCCTGACTTGGAGATCCTCATTTACTAGGAATTGTCCTCATGAATAAACTTAATTTTACCAAATGTGCTGTACACATATATTGAGGTGATCATCATGATTTTTACTCTGTTAACGTGGCGAATAATGATTACTCTTTTTTTTTAACGTTAGCCAACTTTGCAGCCCTGGAATAAGGGCTGGGGCTGGACAGGGCGGGCAGAAGTGGGTGTGCAGCGGTGAGCATGCGTCCCGGCCCATTCTTGGGTTATCACTCACTGGTCCTTGTACCCTTTTCCACACCAGCATCCGCCAGCCCACTTCATCCTGCCTTGTGTTATCTTTTCTATAGGGCGATACAGTTGGCTCGTAGTTGTTGCTTGTTTTGTACATGTCTCGTTGAATGGCACTTGCCTACACTTACTTAATGAAATTCTGAGCAAATAGTAACTATGGACTTAAACTTTTTTGCCCTTTACCTGCAGGTTTCAAAAACTTTCAACAAACAAGTGACTCACGTCGTGTTCAAAGACGGGTACCAGCGCACTTGGGACAAGGCTCAGGAGAGGGGCGTGAAGCTCGTGTCCGTGCTCTGGGTGGAAAAGTAAGTCGCTTCCCTCTTGTTGTTTTAGGTTGATTTGACAGAGAGAGAGAAAAGAAACGTAGTTTCATTGTTCCACTTACTGACGCATCCAATAAGGGGAACCCTGACTAGCGTGTCCGGACGACGCTCTAACCCCCTGAACCACCTGGCCGGGGCCTCTAATTTGTTCGTTGAGTGTCTAGTATGGGTGCAGTGTGGCCATGTATCCTGCACGGGTCCCAGAGCCAGATACTCTTCGGTTTCCGTCTTTTCCCTGTTGCTAACTTGGACAGCCATTCACAGCCTCAAGCCGCAGCTTCCCCAGCCCAGAGATGGTGGCAATGGAGTCCCTAGCCTGTGAGTGGGAGCAAGCACGTGGGCCCTGGGACACTGTGCTCAGCGTGGTCAGGGGACAGCAGGGGGCAGATGCGGTGACACCGATGGCATCCACCCACTGAGGCAGCTGTCACCATGCTCCGCAGACGGGGGGCGAAAACAACAGAACTTCCTTCCTCCTGGTTCTGGAGACTGAAGTCCAAGGTCAGGGTGCCAGCAGGGTTGGTTTCTCTGAGGCCTCTGTCTGGCCGGCAGGTGGCCTGTCTTCCTCTGGTCTCCCTGTGTCTGTGTCCTAACCGCTCACGAATGAACACTGAGCCCAGGTGGAGCCAGGCCCACCCACACGACCGCTCTCAGCCTCATCTCCAAAGGCCCCGTCTCTGGGTGCAGTCACATTCCGAGGTGTGGGGGTCAGGACTTCTTATGAAATGGGAAGTGGGGGGGCACAGTTGAGCCCACAACAGGAGTGTTCGGGGAAGCTTGCAGGAAGTTGAGGCTAGAGAGGTCCCCGGCCTCAGGTGACGCAGGTTCTGGTGGGCTGTGAGACCTAGAAGAAGCACTCAGGCCAGGGCAGGAGTGGGGGTGGGGTGGGGGGACAGCAGTGGAGGCAGCAGTGGAGTGGCCGGGCTGGAGGTGCAGCCACACCAGGGTGGCCAGTGCGGCTGTGAAGGACGTTCAGGCTCAGGACGTAGTTTTGGAGGGAGTGCCAGGCTGCCTTTCCTGAGGATGTGGGTGCAGGTTTGGGGAGCAGGGAGGAGCCAGGGCGATGTGCAGGTTTTGGCCCCAGGAGCGAGAAGGTCGGGTTTGCCGTTTACTGAGTCTGAGAAGGCTCCGACGGCCCAGGTGGGGGGCTGAGGGCCCGTCTGGATGGGCCTGTCTCGGGTGTGCGCCGGGCACCACGTGGGGGCAGCAGGCTGGCAGCTGGGTGTGAGTGTGCAGCTCCTGGAGAGGTCAGGGGTCAGCACGCAGGAGCCCTGGTTGCAGAAAGAGCCGCACTCAAGGGTCTTTTGTCCTGTGCCTCTTCTGTGCCCGCTGCCGCCGCCAGCAGGAATTGTGGCTTTCAATGCCAGAGTTTGATAAAAAGGAGAGGAACTGAAAGTTACACAGGTTTAGAAGATGGCGAGTTCTACCATTGAATCGCACTCCCTGCAGAAACCAAGACACCCCTGCAGACACACAGTCCGCTCTGCCCTCCCTGCTGGGCATAGTGAGGCCAGGTGGAGGGGCCAGGCGGAGGGGCCTTCTGGAAGAGGCAACACCCAGGTCCACAGCCCACTGCTCCGGCTCCTCCCAGTCCTTCCCAGTCCCTCCCAGTCCTTCCCAGTCGCAGTGTCGGCTGGCAGGCCTCCTGCGGTTCCCAGCGCCAGCATCTGTGTTGCTGCAATCACGATCTCCAGTTCCTAGTCCAGAACCGCGTGGCACCTCCTCACGGCCAGTGGGCGAGAGTCCTCTCACCCCCTTTCTTCCCGTGTGGTCTCGCATTCTGCCTGTCCCACTCGGTGGCCGCCTTTTTGTTTGAATCCCAGTGTGGAACTTCCTGCGTGACCCCATTTCCGACTCCTCCCACAGTCAGCCACACCTGCCAGCGCTCCCGTGTTCTCTTCCTTTCTAGGCAGCCACAGTCAGGCCTGGCAGGCCAGGCTCCGCACACCTGAGCTCTCCTGCAGGCGCTGTAACCCGGGAGCGGCCTCGCGGTCCAAGTCGGGCCCCTCTCCCTGGCTCTGCGCTGGCCACGGAGCTGCCCGCTGTTATTGACCTGCAAAATAACTCAGTCCCTGAGCGGCTGCTTTTCCCAGCCCCAAGTGAGGCCTGTGGGGGGGCCCTTGGGCCTCTCAGCCTGCACCCCATCACACCCTCACTTTATAGCTGTTTATGTCAAACACAAGTCTGGAGGTGCTCTCCTGGTGAGTGCAGGGGGGAGGGAAGAGGTCTGGGGGCACACCATTGAGGGGGCATACCACTGAGGGGTCTAGAAGTCAGGGAAGGAAAACTGTCAAGGAGAGGGCAACGATCGGGCTGCACGCAGCCAGGTCTGGGCAGTTACCCCTGGAGTGCGTGACACAGGAGGGTCTGGGGTCTCGACAAGCCCTGTGGGTGGAGTGGCAGGAGCAGAGAGGTTCAGGGAGAAGCTGGGACTGTGGGACTGGGAGGTGGAGCTGGGGCAGACCCGCCTGCGTGCTGGCGGAGCCCACCCTGCAGAGGAGGTTCTGTGCTGCAGAGGCACGTGGGCAGAACCCACGTGCGTGCTGCTCGTGCCGTGGCCTCAGACCGACTGGAGTTGCAGGGCAGCCCCTCGGCTGGCTCTCGTGTCACTGGGCCACGGCCCGGCATTGTGTTTTGAGCGCATTTCACTCACTGGCACCTGGGTCTGTGCTCCCCGCCAGGCCCAGCCATTTCCACAGTGGGTGGGCACCGGTGTGAGCGGCAGACTCAGGCCTGCGGGGCTGGAGCTGGAGAGTGCACCACTTCTGGGGAATGCAGTGCATTCTCCCCTCTGTCCCCACCCTTCCCTGTTGTGACCAGAACTCCGCCCGCTGTCTTCACTTACTGACTTGTGATCCTGCAGGATTCTGGCATCCTTAACTTTCCAAAGTCTGCAGGTGCCCTGCTGCCCACCGCACAGAAACTGGCCCAGAAACCTGGCCTCTGTGTGCGTCCCATGACCCTGCTCCGTCCTTGAGGCCACACGTGTGACATGGCATGTGGCGGGCTCCCACTGAGCCACATCTAAAAAGGCGTTTGGGTTTTAAGTAAATTTAGAGGAAAAGGAGTGTCTTGTACTCCCTATATCTTTGCTGCTGTGTTGCAGTTTGCTCATTCCTGCAGACCTGAGTCTCCTCTGGTGTTTCCTTCCAGTGTGAATAGTTACGTGGAGCATTTCTTCTTAACGGTTGTGAAATGTGGTGGTGAAACGTGCGGAGAGCCCGCTCTTTCAGCGTGCGGCTCGGTGGTGTTCAGTGTATTCCATGCGCAGAGACGTGTGGCCACGACTGTTCGATTCGGGAGAGCATTTCAGCACCACCCAAGCAGGAAGCAGTCACCTCCTCACCCCCGTAGCCCTGCCCCCTAGCCTTGCCCCCTTGCCCCGCCCCAGTGACCACCATTCTCCACCTTTGTCTCCTAGCGAGCCAGGTGGGTACACTCTGTGTACGTGGGCTCCTGTGTGGCCTTCGGTGGCAGGCCCCTCTCAGCACACATGCTGTTTGGAGGCTTGTCTCTGCTGTGTGTCCCGACTCAGCACCAGGTCCCCCTGACTGGCCGGGTGGGACCATCCATGGTGTGGACTCGCCCCGCCCCATCACCTGCCCGTCCACTGGGGTCTGGCAGAAGCTGTGTTGGGTCTGCAGCAGTTGGGTCAGGTTCAAGTGTTCTGTCAGTCCCTGAGTGGCGTGTTGACGTGTCGGTGGTCAGATGGTCCCCTCCCACTGCTGCCCCGTCAGCGTGGCACTTCCGTCCACCAGGCGACGGCACATTCCTTTAGGCTTTCCCTTGCCCGCAAGTGCCCTTGTGCTGTGGTCACATGTGGGCGGTGTTTTCCGTGGGGGTGCGATTCCAGGGTGACCGTGGCTTTCCCATCCTCCGCTGGCCTCCAGTGTCCAGTATGACGCCCATGGTCATGGCGGTCACTTCTCTGTTGTAAGTAATGTGTCCTTTCTGTCTGGCTGCTGTCAAGTTCTTTGCTTTGGTTTTAGAGCTTTAACTTGAGTGCTCTGAAATTCATTCTGTGCGATTTCTGAGGACTTGGATGTACAAACCGTGAGTTTGGGGCCGTCGTTTGTTCAGACGGCTTCCCCGCTCCCTTCTTGCCCTTGCGGCGAACCCCAATCAGCTGCAGAGCAGGAACGGCAGAGTTCGTCGGGAAAGGCACCGGTCCGCACGGTCTTTGTTTAACCACCGAGCTCTGGGGTTGGGCGGCCCAGAGGACAAGCACACTAGCTGGTGGGTGTGGCCATTCCAGTGAAGCCCCCAGGAAGGCAGTGGGGGTGCAGGGCCGGCCTCGGAGTCCCCCACGGGCTCTGAGGCCTGGCGTTTCTTCTTTGCCTGCGTCTGTCTTCAGGTGTATTGAGTCTTCTCTGCCACTAGTCCACACGGGACACTGACTCAGGCAATTTTGAGTGCGGCGTCTCCATGTCATTCCTGTCACAATTCTCAGCTGAGCTCCCCCGTCTGTGTCCCTGTCCTTCCCGCTCTCAGAGTCCGGCCGCAGCGGTCCTGTCCTCACCTCCCTGGTCGCTCCAGCCACCGAGGCTGGCGTCTCGGTTGTGTTTTCTTACAGGCGTCACACTCGTCCGGCTCTTCACCTGCTGCCCGGTGTGCGCTGCGTGTCGGGCACTGCGTCTGTCCCGCAGGCCCTGCCCCCGCCGTGCCACTCGGGAAGGGCTCTCCTCCCAGAAGTGCCCTCTGTCCCCAGTCTGCAGTGGGGCCTGTTTGCCACTCTGTCTACACTGCCTGCCTCCTTTTTGTGCCGTTAAAACGTTATCGTCTCTTCCGTTTGTTGATCCCACGTCATCACGGGTTTTAGTGTTTCTGCCGCAACATAAGCTGTGAGTGCGGCCTCTGCCTTTGTCTTGTTCCACTGCTGAGCTCCCACTGAGGTTGCTGACACACTCCCAACTCACAGTGGGCGCCCGATAAATATTTATCACCACCACTGACACACAGAGGACCCTGTACTTACATTGGCT